GGCTTCCTGACCCCTCTCTTCCTGCCTACACTATCTCCCTTGGGTTGCCTTGCTCCCATGTGCTTTCTTCTGACCACTGGACCTGCTTTTCCCCCTAATTTCCAGATGCACCAAGTTTCAGGCCTAATAAATTATTCAGGTAAGACAAAGTTTAGGAGAGCCTACATGGTGGTTTGTTGACTTTTCAAAGGATTGGCATCACCTTGCCAGCTAACCTAGAGTGGTCCCAAGGTACAACCGATCTGTTATGGCTCCAGTTCACTGACCTGTTTTTTTCTTCTCTCCTTCAGCTAGTCCAACATATCAGCAGTAAGCACATGATTAACTTTAAGTTGTGCATTCTGCTGGGATGTCAGCATGTGTTAAACATTGGGTATCGACTGCAGTCGAGGAGTGCCAGTGCTCCTGTTGGGGACTTAAAGCAGGATGTTCCTGGCTGGAGGGTCTTGCTCCTCTGCTCAGGTTCAGACTCAAAGCCGTATTTGGGTTCAGGAAGGAATTTTACCTTGTGGTCACATTAGTATGGACTGTGGGGGTTTTTGCCCTCTCTGTTGTGGCAGGGGGGCATTGCCCTCTAACTGGTATTTCCAGCCTATATTAATAACTTTTTATAGAAGGATATTGGCTGCTGTGGTTCCTGTTTTACCTGCGGTAAGTTAGGGTGTCTTGTGTTGACTCTGGGTCGACATAGTCTTACAAAGAGTTTAGACCTTGATTTGTATAGGATAGTTTGGACAGGGATGATTCTGCCTCAGTTAGGAGGTTGGACTAGATGACCTCTGGAGATCCCTTCAAGCCCTATTTCTCCGCGATTTCTTTGTGTGAAGTGCTGTGTTGAATTATGGACTTGCCTTTTAGAAAAACATTTGTCAACACTATTGAGAACATATACAAGCAGGAAAATGCAGTGATAAACCAAAACAGCTGGTTCCAAAAATTCACTTTAGGCAACATATGTACGATATATGAGTCAATCTTTGTTGTAAAGAGAAGTCAGTAGAGACTGTATATGTTTTAGGCTGCTGAAAAATTTTTACAACAAAAGATTTTGTAACCTTTTCTCTGACCAGTTTTCACAGTTGCATTGTATGACATAGTCCTTTGACACTGGCCAGAGGTAATTCCCTGGGCTGCACAAGTGCCTTTTTCTTACCATGTGAAATTCTGTTCAGGTTTGGCTGAGAGAATAAATGCTAAATAAAGCATTTTTTCTTCTCAGTCAAAAAAAGTCAGTGATTCCCCGCCCCCCACAACTGAACATCCTGACCTGGTTCATGGCACTCTATGGAGAAGCAGCAGCAGTGTATGTTGCCCCAGGCAGTGGCATCTTCTGGCTGCCACCATGCTTGCTTGCCAGTGTGATGTTGCAGAGATAGATGTTTGTTTTTCTGCACCTCCCCTCCCCATGCCCCTCCCAGAGTCAGCACCCAGGGCTATCACCCTAGTTGCCCAGCCCTAGTTATACAAATTGGGTGGTGCAAATTTGTGATGAAGGTTCTGGAGTTCTACCCTGCTGGTGATGTGTAATGAAGACTTGTTATAGTTGCACCTAAATTAGTTTGGTTCTCTTTTAAAAACAGTGATAGTATTTTAAGGGATGTTTTGTGTATGTGTAACGTCCATATAATATGAACATTTTAATAATGGAACAGACATTAAAGGAGAAGGAAATGCCAAAAATGAAGATTGTAATGGAAGCCTAAATGGGAACTAAACCAAAAAAGAATCTGTATTTTGAATGGCCTAGATTAAAACCAAACAGTAATATATTGTTTATATTTAACAAGGAAGGAGGGAATAGAAAGTTCTACCTAATTACAGTATAGCTAAATTAATAATGAAATAGAAATCTTAACTCTCACTAATTTCCAGTCTTGATGTCTCAGTCTTAATGTTATATGAATGCTTTTTTAAATTTAATTACTTTGTATTTATTATTTATTTGTATCCATTTGCAGAAAAAATCAGAGAAGCATTGTAATGAGATTTCTGTACTGCTAATGTGCTTTAGATTCTCCTCAGTGTAGCTGATTGCCTGTAGAGCCACCTCAGCATTGTTAAAGCACTTCAACAGTTTACTCCTAAGACTAGCATCATTAAAGCTCTCTTGGCTTGGAAAGTGCACTGGAAGGAAAATGAATGAAAAAGTTATGTTCCTGTATAAAAAAACAACTTAAAACATGCATAACTTTAAAAATACAAAACAGCTTTTTCTAAGATGTGAATTCTTTATCCTTTCCCTTTGGGGCTATAAAGGTATATATAAATGCTTGTGATCACATAGTTAAACTGCACTATAGATGCTGATTCAGCATAGCATTTTAAAAACTATTGAAATCAACAGGATTTAAGCATATGCTTAAGTATTTTGCTGAGAAGTGATGGATTTACACACCTACTTTAAAAATTAAGCATATACTTGAGTGCTTTGTGGAATCAAGGCCATAATGTGTGCAACAGAAGAAAATTAGATGTAGAAGTCCGACCTTTTGAGTTATTGACATTATAGAGCAAATGCTATTTTAATATGGTGTTTGATGTGAAAATGTGAAATGTTCATGTTTTTGTGTATGCCCTACAAAGATGACTCGGGTATGAGAAACTCCATAGTTTACCTTATATGCACATGCCAAAGGGAGGGGGCTATAGTTAAGTACCTTAGTGCATATTTCTTCTGCAAATAAGGTCTGCTTTTTCTTTCAGTCACTGGGCACATGTAACTCTTAAAAGTCAACCAGAACTGTGAGTGCTCAGCATTTTAGGAAAACAAGTCACTTTTAGGAACTGAAATCTGTATTTAAGTGCCTAACTTTAGGCCATTATATCCTGTTTTTAGATCAGCTCCATGATGATACTCTGTAATACCAGATTTGTTGATTTGATATACTGGATTACTAAACCGACATATGGCATTCTCTGGGTCAACCTTTTCGAAATACAAATATACGTCAAAAAACTTTTCTCCATTAGAGAAATGTTGGTCCCATTGGCATGCTCATCACACACCTGATGTGTACACACACACACACACACACACACACACACACACACACACACACACTTGTACGTATGTACATATGTTCCATACATTTAGCACAGTCCACAAAATATTTGAATTAGATGTTCTTTCAGTGTATCAAAGAGCCATTGCTACCTCAACCATTTCAGCCTGAACACCTCTCTTACTACTGTGGATGCAAGCTGAAATTTGTTCTTGCGGGCCTCATCCATAGTGCACCCTTGGCCTATATAAATCTTTCAGAATGCACTTCTCAGGAGCAGGGCCAGAAACTGTGGAGCAGTTACCTGCAGAGCATTGCAACTGAAACATCACCTCTGCTGGTTCTTAAAGAAACAGAATCTGGGTAACTAACATCAACTCAGTAAATCTTCTCTGCTTAAACTGGTTCATCTGGTCTATCATTTTATTTACAAAGCGATTTTTACACAAAGTGTAGAGTATAGTTGAGTAGCCTTGCACCTTTACGAAAGAAAGAAAGAAACCAGTGTTTGAAATGGCTTAGTAATTAGTTGAGTCTTAGAAGGACTGAGCATGTGTCGCTGCTGCCTTATTTGGGGGCTGGACTCGATGATCTTCCGAGGACCCTTCCAGCCCTAATGTCTATGAAATCTATGAAATTTGACTGTGTTGGGTAATTAATTACTAACCTGCTGCCATTGCCTCCCCTTGCTCAGAGTTGAAGCACTGTCGGGGTACTTCAACTTTTAGAGGTTTGTGGCTAGTCCATACTGTTCATATGGTCTGTTAAAGAGCTATCCCACTTTGAGCAGAACCAGCAGTGTACTATTCAGGGTTAACCAAAATAATTATTTGTAACATTGGATATCTACTTTTGTATGTATGGATATACTGGTTAGGTAATATAATCTGCATCTTACTGCCTTTTTAAAATACGGTTCTGAAAAATCTCAGCATTTCATGCACACAGTAATTTTAATATTGTTCATCTAGTCTAAAAGCTTCTGTTTTGAGTCTCTGTTTCCTTTTGATACTCAGAGCTTCAGAATAAATTGTTAGTGCTGAGGCTTGTAAGGTGAGGGGTCATGACTGGGGGCAGGGGTGTGCATCAAGAGAGGAGTGCAACTGTTGTCCCAATCCTAACAAGTCAATAGACTAGTTCACGGCAGTTCACTAGTATGCTGTACTGCTGAATTTATTTTAAAACTATATCAAGAAGTCTAAAAATGGACACAGTGCTTACAAATGAAAGTGCAAGATAGAACTTTCATTAACATATCTCTCCCCCTACCCCCTCACCCCCAAAAAACCCCACCCCAGTCTGATTGGTTTCAGAAACCACCACTTATGAGCCTGCTGTAGGTCCTGAAACTAAAAGGCAGCGGCAACAAGACTCTGGTGCTACAGCCAACTGCAGCGTAGCCAGAGAAACAGGCAACAAAAATAGAACACAGGATTGCTGTGCGTGGGTGAGGCAGAAACCACATTATGAGCAAAACCTTCCAGTATTATTTTAGAACCAATACAGAGCCCTCCTCATTTTGAACTCTTTTCACAAAATATTCATCCCGGACTCAGTGGGGCAGGGGGGCACCTGATAAAAAGATGGATAGAAATCAAACATCAAGAAATGTTTCTCTCTCTCAAACTGTGGTTGTGTTCCCTTTCTTATTTCTTTGCTCGAAAAGCAGCATGCGCGCAGACACAGACGTGTATGCAGAGAGGCTTGGCAGTGGGAAAGGGTTAATTACTTTTGTGGATTGGCAGTAGAGAATTGCAGTTCGAAAGACAGGGACTGGACAGCTGTGTTTGCTGTGGTATTTTTAAATGCATTAATACAGGCTCCAATCACTCGGCCATGCTTGACCTATTTTTGGCTCAGGCCAGCCATTGTTCTATTTCTGTTGCCTGTGGGCCACACTGTTGTTGATTCATATGCAAATGAGTTATCACTCGCTTCAGCCAACTTTGCAGAGAGACAGAGCAAGAGAGAGGGAGAGAGAAAGAAGGGCACAGGGACAGAAACACTTGTCAAGACTGAGGGTAATTGAAATTAAACCCGTAGGGGCTGACGTCCCTGGAAACCGGGCTTATTTGGTATTATTATTATTATTTTTTTTTTTTTTAGTGGCTTTATTTCCCCCTGGCAGAAAAGCCTGAAGCACAAATAGATTTCTTCTTCCACCTGCTGCTGGCTTCCAGAACACAACTGTTCAAACTCAGAGGTTCATAGTCCACTGTGTACTTCCTATTCCTTTGCATCAGACCAGGCTGCGTAAAAGTGGATTGTCATTTTTTGGTTTTTTTCTTTTCCCCCTTTTTAAAATAGATTTTTATACAAATGCTTACAAAATTGCTGATTTCCAAAGTGTATGCTCTCTCCCACTCTCTGTGGAGGAGGTAGGACCACAGAGGGTCGTTCCTGACGTCCCTATACAGTGCAGTGATGAATCTTTCATGTAGCTGAAGTACAGACTGATTGGAATATGCTGCAGACAATTTACGAGAGTGAATCGTGTTTTTCCTCAGATGGGGTTTCTGGACGTGAACAGCTCTTGGCTCAGCAAAGAATGCACAGTATGATCAGCTCAGGTAAGAAGCAGTTCAGTAACTGAGACTTTTCTGTTTGGAGGGTGACATACATAGGAAATACAAATTGTCACAGTAAAGAATCTTGCCCTTAAATCATTTCTTTAGTCCATGTTTTTTTAAATGTAAGTTCTTTCTAAATAGTGACTCCCACACCAAATTATTTTGGATGTTTGCCCCTGCTGTTGGTTTTTTTTTTTAACCCTTCCTGCTGCTTCCAAAAGGAAGAAAACTAGCAAATAAAATACAGTAAGGGATATTTTTTTTTTCTTGTGCTCTATGACTGCAAAATGGGGCTTATGGTGATTGCAGGCTTGTTCCAAATGAGACCTCATTAAACAAGACCTTGTTAAGTGAGCTACAGTTCAGAACCCATCAGAGGCTGTTTTGTCCCTATGTAATTCTGTAAGCAAGAATAGGTCTATTTGTAGGCTTCTTTCTCTCAAGTTTACATGTCGAGAGCTTTCTATAAAGCTTCTGCCCTGATTTCATAATGGTGTCAGTTTTGAGTATTCTAAAGTAAATTCTGTGTCTGTCTTATGTTTGGCTCCTTTTCTTACTTCAGGAATATTTGAGAAACTTGGCAATGCCAGTCAGATCTAATGGTTCACTGAAAATGTAAGTTGGATGCATTTTAAGGGAGGTGTTTTAAAAGCTGCACTTACAGAATAATGGATATCACTGCAGTTTGAAGACTTCCTTCCATTTTCTAGTTCCTGTGATATCTGTATTTGAGATCTGTGAATGATGCACTGGGACTGAATGAAGCTGGGAGAGCTTTAACAGTTTAACTTAATAAAAGTCAAATTTTCACTTTCTCTGATTAGCATTGTGTAGTTCCAGCTCTGCTTTTATTGCATTTATCTTGTTTTTTGGGAAGACATAATGATATCTCATCTACATATATTACAGCCTCTGAGTCCTAATTTTCTGCATTAAATTTGGGTTTTCCTAGGTACTGCATGCAAAGATGCTATAAATTGCTCAAGTAGACTACAATCCAAGTTAAATCCCCAAATTGTTCGTAAAACTTGGCACTGACTTCCAAAGTTGATTACATCTCAACGAATGATTTTACTGATTGACTATATACTTGTTCTCATGCTCTTTTACTTGGTCCACCTGTTGATCCTTTTATGATTTAAAAAAAAAAAGATGCTTGAGATGCGACACCTGCTCCCGTTCATGTTTGCAGAAAGAAATCTGGAGTTGTATTTATATTTGTTTCTTAGGTAGAAACTGTAGAGCAGTTGTTGTTATGAAAGATTGTCATAGAGGAATGAATGTTTGTCTGTTTGAGCAGGACCGATTTACATCATAACTATAAAATACATTTTTGAATACAGTAAATCAAGGCTGCCTCATCATAATTATAGACAGGGAAAAGGGATGAAGACTGAAAGCTTGCTGTAAGCAGTCTCAAATCATGAGGTTACCTAATGGGCTACCCAATACCATTTATCAGTATTGCTTAACATTTTTCCATTTCTTTCATTAAGTTACTTCAGTGTGTTAACTGATTTGCTTGCCTGTTCATTTTTCCTAATATGACTTAGTTTTGGGTTTCCTTTTTAAGAGTTTTACAACCCTGATTCCCGTTTTTTTTTCCCCCTTCCGGAAATAGGCTTTGAACTACTAATTCCAGTATCCTTATTTAAAAGGAAATCTGGTGATAAACTCATTCATATAAATATAACAGGCTAAGCTCTGGATAATGACATGATCCTAAGATCGTGGGTGGATACTGAAGGTTCTCTGCAAGTTTTCTCACAGCTTTGACAAGCTACCAAGTGTTACTGGCTTCCTCATTTTTTGGTACAAATTAGCAGGTATATCAAGGTTTTGGAGCAGGCACACGTATTACCTAAAGGTGAGACTAAGGCAATTTTTTTCAAATTTCCCCTTAAAAATAAACTAGTAAGTCTAGAGGTAAACAGGCTGGTTTATTAGCCTGTTGTGCCACCTTGAACCAGGATAATTTCTGATTTGGAAAACAAGAAAAACATGTAATTTTCTATAATAGAGCTGTGCTTTCCTTCCTGGGAGACAAAAAGTATCCCGTGACATTTGATTTGCATCTAACATTGTGTAAGACCCATGTAGTACAGACTTCATGTGAAGCTGTAGACAGTGTTTTAATAACTTTTTCCTTAATTAATAAACAAGACCGTTTTCCAAGCAAACAGTTTTTTTATTACTTTGTTTAAAACAAAAACAATTCTTCATTATTCATGCTGTCCTTTTAGAATATTCAAATAAGCAACATCTCATTGACATTTTATTTAGTCTACAATTGAATTAATCTCATAGGAAACCAAAGGGTCTATGCCTGTTGAGCAAACTCTGTTCTTTGAACTTCAGAGCCTTGTGTGATCAGGTCCTGTAATGTCATATGTAGCATTTTCTGCATGTAGGCTGAAGTGTTGCAAAATGTGTGGAGAATGTCGCAATGATAGACAATGTGGTGGTTCTGTAGTGGGAAGTTCCCCACTCCCAAGTCTGTGATACCATTTTAACACCCTATATAAGGACTAATAGTGACAAGTGGAATAGTGTTGTTACCAGGTTGTGATTTAAAATGTAAACAAATCCTTTCATATTTGATGCTTGTAAAACTCATCTATCTAAACAGAATCAGGTCTACTATGTAGAGAAGAAAAGGAACTGCTGCTTGAAGGCCCTTAGGGTAGCTAAGTGTCAGTTTTATGAATCAGTGTTCTTTGTGCAGGTCAGAATAGCTAAATATTCTGTTTTCTTATTTATGTATATGTTACATCTATTCCTGTTAATCTACACATTTATCAAGAGAAGAATAGAAAACTTAAAATTTACACCATGCCTCCTTAATACTGCACAAACCATGAAATTAGCCTAACTTTAGCACTCAGTCGATGAATTTATAGACTTGCAGATCTCCAAATATACTGTCCATGCATTCTTCTGTTCTAATTTTAAGTTGGATGGAGTCAGCTCCGAAGGAGATGGATTCATTTGATAGGTATCTGCCGAGCAAACTGTCTGAGGAATTTCTGAGAATACCAAGCGTACAAAATACTCCTGTCATGTGAAGCAGCTCTTCTGGTATTCCCTTAATTACTGCTTTGCCTGCCTGCCTCCATCTCAGTTTATAAATCACATTATGAATGAGATGATTTGGAGAAAGTACTGATCAAAAGTGTAATTACAAATGGGACAATCCAGATAGGCACTGAATCAAGAAGCTATATAATTACAAACACCTACACCTTACTACAGACAAAATTACTATTGGCTGTGTTAAAGAAGACTTACAGTCACTTGGAGTAGTGTGTGCTGTAAAATGCACAAGGATATACTGTGTAAGTTCTTCAAACAAGACAATGCACATAAAAATAATTATGGTACCCAATAAATATTTGTTTTTAGGGAAAATTAAGGAAATGTTTTATTTTAAAAAATACTTTTTGTTCAGCTGTTCTCCAAAGTAACAGCTAGCTATTGCAGGGATCATGGCTTTTTTTTTAGCAAATGAAAGCTGGTTCATAGTGCCTTGGTACTAAAAAGATCCTGTTTAACTGATGAGGGTCCTCATTGTATGGTATTACTTTGGTTTTACCCAGAGAGTTGCTTACTGTGTATATGTACAGTGCTGAGCACAAATCTTGAGTTCTGAGTTGTCTCTGGGCACTACCTTCAATAACCCTTTGGTAGTCAAAAAGCCTGAGGCTGAATCAATTCAGTCTTCACAGGTTAGTCTAAGCTGCATAGATTGAACCAATAAACAAGTGAACAGACATTCACTTTTGATTTTGGAAATGCGCCCACATGCCTGCAGTGGCCCAGGCTCCCTGCTTTGCTGGAGCAGACAGGTTGGTCCAAGACTAGCCTGCACGCCCTGCAAGGCAGAGGAGGCATGGGGGGATGGCGGGGTTGTAGGGGAGGTGCAAAGCATCCTGGGATGCTGGGGGACTGAGAGTTAACTAGAATCTGGAGGGGATCTGGGACAGAAGTTCAATGAACTGATTAACCTAAATCAGTTAAGTCTGATAGTGCACCATCCAAGTTTATCTTAAACCAGTTTCTGCCATTTTGAAAGTAGTTTAGGTGGACTGAACTTCTGTTGCATTACAGATTTGAATCAGTTTCCAATCACATATACCAGTTTATGTGTAATTTCTGTCCCTAACCTTTGAGTTAAAGCA